GGGCGCGGGCGGCCCGGCGGCGCCGGGGCCCGGGGCGGCGCGGGCCGGAGCGGCGCGGCCCCGCAGGAAGTGGGAGGTGTTCCCGGGCCGCAACCGCTTCTACTGCGGCGGCCGCCTTATGCTGGCGCGGCACAGCGGCGTCTTCGCCCTCACGCTCGGCCTCATCGTGGCCACCAGCGGCCTCTTCTTCGCCTTCGAGTGAGTCTGGCCCGCAGCGCCGGCGCCCCGAGCCGTGCGGGCCCCGTGCCGCGGGCTGCCCCGCCGAGCCGGCCTGCGGGCAGCGGGCTGGGAGGGAGCTGGGCCGGGCCGCCTTCCCCGTGGGATCCCCGCTGTGCCTCCTCCCGCTGCCCCCCGAGCCCTTCCCCACGGTGCAGCCCCCAGACCCGCTTTGCAGGCGGTCGCTGCCCCATCTCCTGTGCCCAGATCGGTTTATGGCTCGTCCTGCGCCTTGTTTGCTCGGTCTGGCCCCAGGAAGGGGTTTAACGTCCCCCTAGGATGCCCCCCTGGCCTCTAAATACAGCCCCCAAGTCTCTCCTTTGGCTCCCAAGAAGAGAATTGGCCCAAAATTGCACCCGGGAAACCCTCAAGGCTCGTGGGCTTTGTCCACCGCCGGGATCTAGGAAGAATGTTTCTTGTAAATATTGAAACCATTCGGGGTCCCCCCTCGAGGGTCCGCACTGGAGCTCGGCCCCCCTTGTGCACCAGAGTCTGGGGAAGAGGGAGCTGCATCTGCCCACTCCCTTTTCCTTGGAAAGCTGGTCCAGGGAAGCTCCCTGCTCCTGGGGAAGAGGGAGCTGCATCTGCCCACTCCCTTTTCCTTGGAAAGCTGGTCCAGGGAAGCTCCCTGCTCCTGCTCTCTGCTTCTGGGGAAGAGGGAGCTGCATCTGCCCAGTCCCCTTTCCTTGGAAAGCTGGTCCAGGGAAGCTCCCTGCTCCTGCAGCCTGAGGGAGGGGAGAGCCAGGAGCCCCCGGTGTGTCCTGTGCTGCCCTGGGGCGCTGGGGAAGGCGCACCCTGGCTTCCTGACACCTTGCAGGGTTCTGCTGAGCTGCCTTCGTCTCTGTCCCGGGAGGGATGGGAGCCGCTTTTCCCTGGAGCGGGGGCCACGCCTGCCTTTGGATCGCGGCGTTATCCTTGCAGGTCTCGGAGTGAAGCTGCCCGAGCCTGCTGGTGGGGAGATGAAAGTACTTGATCGGATTAGAGGTTCTGGGAAGTGAGATGAGCTGAAAGGGACAGGCAGCTGCGGGCAGCAGGCACAGCATCCCGATGGAAAAACCCCTTTCTCAGCATCATCTGTGCCCTGACAGCTCTCTGCCAGGTCGGGGGCTGACGGGCAGCTCAGCACAGTAGCGGCTTTGTGTGGCCAGGCAGAGCACACAGGACATCTGCTCTGCCTCCCTTCTGCCAGTCACTCTCTGGTGCCTGAGGATGCCCTGGGGCTCTCCCAGGTTGTTATTTTAGCAGGATGCTTCTGTTGCACAGGCTCCAGTTTGCTGGGTGTACAGCAAAGACATCTCGTCTGTGTCTGTATTTCATGGTTTCTGTGGGGTAACCTGGCACAGGGTGCCGAGAGCAGCTGTGTCTGCCCCATCCCTGGAAATGTCCAAGGCCAGGCTGGACACTGGGGCTTGGAGCAGTGTGGGAGAGTGGAGGGTGTCCCTGCCCATGGCAGGGATGCTATGGGATGATCTTTAAGGTCCAAACCAAACCATCTGGGGATTCTGTGATTTCTCTGATTTCTTGTTCCCTGGTGGGGCACAGTGGGCTCTGGAGGTTCTCTCAGGAAAGGGCTGACAACAAGCTCATGTCTCTCCTTTCACAGACCTTTCTGTCGCTGACTGAGGGGCTCAGGCTTGGACTGAAGGGGTTTTGTTGCTTGGTGGGTGCTTTGTTCTGGACAGCTGAGCTGGGGAGGTGAAACAAAAGTTCCTTAATCCTCTCAGAGCGCTGCAGAGCCTGAGCACTGCCTGCAGCCCTCAGGACTGGGGCAGCCCGTGCTGTGCTGGCTCTGGGTGCTGATCAGTCCTCTGCAGGAGGGGACAGTGGCTCTGTGTGTGTAGGGCTGTGTCCTCTGCTGTCCTCAGCTGCTGCCTGCAGGTAACAGAGCTGCCCTGGTGTGGGGTGTGATCCCACCAGTCCCCATCTCTCCCAAAACAGCCCCAGGTCGGCTGCTGAGCCCAGTACCCTGTGACAGGTCGTGGTGTGATGTCCCAGCTGACAGCGGGTCTGTGCAATGACTGATAACAATTCCTTTTATTTATCTTTTCACAGCTGCCCCTTCCTTGCCAGCCACCTGACCCTGGCCATCCCCATCATCGCCGCCGTCCTCTTCTTCTTCGTCATCAGCTGCCTGCTCCAGACAAGCTTCAGAGACCCCGGGATCCTGCCCAGAGCCACCCCCAGCGAGGCTGCAGACCTGGAGAAGCGAATTGGTGAGAGCTCTGGTCCCTCTCCTGTGTGTGTCTGTGCACCTTCCGGGCTCAGTGAGGCCCCTGCTTTGGGTCTTGGCTCCTTAAGGTTTGTCCACAGGGGGGAGAAAAATCCAGAGAATCAGATTGTGAGGCTTGACAGTGCTTACCAGTCGTGATGAGAGGTGCAACAAGCTCCTGTGGCACAGCAGGCAGTGCCTCAGAGATTTGCAGAGCAGCTCAGGTGCTTTTTGCTCCTGTTCAGTCCCAGTGCTTTCCCAGGCAGCAGAGTTGAAGGATAATTAATGCTTTTTGATATTGCCATTGAACCTTGTGCTGCAAGGTGTTCTTTAGAGTAGGCTGATGTTTGTCCTCTTCTAAAAACTGCTCTGTCACGCTGGTTTGGGGACAGCCAAGGAGGTGTTTGCATCCAGGAGCTGAGGTCCTCGTTGATGTGACAGGTTGGAGCAAATGTTTTAGCAAAGCTGATGTGAGACAGCTTGAATCTGTCCTGCTGAAGACAGATGCAAGGCAGTAATTCTACATCTGACTTTAAAAATGGTTTTTAAATATCCCCAGAGTAGTTATCCATGTTTCTATTTATAAGGGCCTAAAGCAGTAATCTGGCTGCAGATGCTGCCTGATGTGCCAGCTGTTACTGCTAATATAATCCACTTATCATCGTCTTAACATGCTCACTGATGCATCAGTATTTTCAAAGAATTCCTCACAGTTGGAAAAGTACTTTTTTTAGGAGAAACTAAAAGGAATAACCCCCGAAACTGCAAACATGATTCCAGGGCTTTCCAGCTATTGCTGTGTACAGGAGCAGTCTCCAGCCCCCAGAGAATGAATAATGCAGTGCCAGCACACAGAGATGTAACTTGCAGTGCCCCTAAAAATCCTCAATTCAAACCTGGAGGAGGAGGAATCCTTTTGTGCTATGAACACAAAGATGTCAAATTCCAGGGAATCTACTGGAGCACTTGAGGCCTGCTGTTGTCCTTCCCACAGTGATGGAGGCGAGTCCCTGCAGGCTGGCAGTGCTGCAGCTCTGGGGTGACAGGCTGTGTGCTGGCAGTGGCAGGGATGCTCCTGTGGCAGAGCCACACGTGCTTTCACAGCCTGTTGTGACCTGCTGGACACACAGAGATGAGCTGGTGTTTGTAAATTTGTAAATTCCTTGACGTTCCATAGCACTGGGCACTTACTGCTTCCTCTTGGCATCCCAGCAGCATTGCCACTGAGCAAAGGCAGGCCGTAAATAATGCTGGAGCAGACTGGAGCTCTTGGCTGCCCACCCCGCAACAAATCCTGTCTTGCGTTCTGTTGAAGCCAGGAGAGCGTGTGCCAGCCCCTGCCCCAGCCGGGGGTGGCACAGGGGTGGCACAGGGCTGTGAGTGTCCCTCCTTGTCCCTGCAGACAGCATGGGCAGCTCCACGTACCGTCCCCCGGCCCGTACCATGGAGGTGGTGATCAACAAGTACGTGGTGAAGCTCAAGTACTGCTACACCTGCAAGATGTTCCGGCCGCCGCGCACCTCCCACTGCAGCGTCTGCGACAACTGCGTGGGTGAGCGGGGCTGGGGGGAGCTGGGCAGTGAGCAGGCATCCTGAGCTGCAGGGCACCCACAGGCGTCACTGATCCAGCCCCTGGCCCTGCCCAGACACCCAGCAATCCCACCCTGGGCATCCCTGGAGTGGTGTCCAAGAGCTCCTGGAGCTCTGGCAGCCTCGGGGCTGTGCCCATTCCCTGGGGAGCCTGGGCTGTGCCCAGCACCCTCTGGGGGGAGAACCTTGTCCCAGTACCCAGCCTAGCCTTCCCCTGACATGGCTCCAGCCATTCCCTCTGGTCCTGTCCCTGATCCTGTCTCTTGTGTTCCTGGACAGATTGTGTTTTGCTTCTCCTGAAGGATTATAAACCAAGATACTGCATGGTCTGTCTCCTTTGCATTTCAATTGAAAGCAGCACTAGTGCAGTGGCTCAGTGCAAGGGGCAGCACATCCAACACTCCATGGCTCTGTTTCCCCTGGTTTTGGGAGGAGGGTTCTGTAAAATGCAGTGCAGGCCTCCACAAAGACAAGGTTTGCTGCAGGCTCCTCACTGTGTGTGGCCAGGCTGTCCCCAGGCTGGCACAGACACCATGGAAATTCACTGCTGCAGAGAGGTTCTGCCCCCGGGGTGCAGGGGGAAGATGGGTTTGTAGCCCCTCATTTTGGGGGGCTGAGCAGAGTCTGCTCCGTGCTGGGTGTGAGGTGGCAGGAGCCCTCCTCACCTCGAGCCTTTGTTCCAGAGAGATTCGATCACCACTGCCCCTGGGTGGGCAACTGCGTGGGTAAGCGCAACTACCGCTACTTCTACGCCTTCATCCTGTCCCTGTCCTTCCTCACCGCCTTCATCTTCGCCTGCGTCGTCACCCACCTCACCCTGCGTAAGTGCGGGCCGGGAGGGGCACAGCTCTGGGGCACGGGAGGGGTCTGCAGGGCCCACACCAGGCGAGGGGTTAAAGGGTCCCACGAGGCCTTCACCTCGCTGCAGAGGCGCTGTGGGAGCTGGGCGTGGGATTTGCTTCCCCAGAGCTGCTGGTGCCCCCGCCCTTGGCTGGCAGGGAAGGTGACTTTCCCACCAGCCCCAGATCTGCTGGAGCTGTGTCCGTGCACCGACATTCCTGCAGCGTTCCCGACTGCGGATGTTCCTCAGGCAGACAGATCCACACGGGCGTGGGGTTCTGGCTGGAGGGCAGGGCTGCCTGCTGGGATGCCATTGCCTGTTCTGTTTTGCTTTGCAGGCTCTCAGAGGGATGGGTTCCTGGCCACTCTGAAGACAACCCCTGCGAGATATCCTTCTGCTGGCAGCAGCTGCTCGGGGTGCCCAGCACCGCTCATCACTGACAGAGGGGGGCCAGCAGCTCTTTGCAGGTCACCCTGGTGTCCTTTCCCCAAATTAATTTAGTCCCCTGGCTACCTGGGACCAAGGGGGGGTTGTTTCCCAGTTTGCAGGTTTAGGTGGAAAGGGAAGAACTGGAGCAGGCTGTGCCCTGCAAACCAGCTCAGGGAATGGGAAGCTTGCCCAAACCTCCCCAGACAATCCTTTGTCTCTCCTTGCGGGATGATTTTGTTCCTTGACTTCTCTTTCACTATGCTGGAGCTGGTGATTTGTTTTTTCTCAGTCTGGTCCATTTTGGGCCTCTCAGGTTTTCACACTTACTTAGTGGCCTCCAACCTGACGACGAATGAAGATGTAAGTACCTGGATGCTTGTCCTGCTGCCAGGCTGCCCATGACCCACCCTGAGCAGATTTCAGGGCATTCTTGGCTGCCTCAGTGCAGTTTCACTGCCTGTGATAACCCAGTGCAGAGCACACAGCCTGTGCCCACGGCTGCACTTTCAGGTGGCTGAGTTAGAACCATCACGTGTTTGTTTTTTCCAGTCTGTTTGTGGCCTCTCTTAAAATTAGGAGTTGTGAGATTAAAAAAGGAAGGCTGGCCCAGGGGAGTATTTGGGTGTGAGCTTGGTGATCTGAATTCAGCATCCCGTGTAACCACGGGTTTCCTCTGAGACCCTGACTGGGCCAGTCCCTTTGTGTCTGGCAGTTCCTCATCTCTAATTAGAAAACAATGTACAGACATCTGATGAGATTTATCTTCAAATCCGGGGTGTGCACAGGCTCCAAGGACCAAATGAGTGCCCTGAGTGGGGCAGATTGTATGGAAAAGCAGGATCTGTCTGATCCTCAGAATCAAAATTTGCCCTTCTGGCCAGAAGTACCTGTAATCCTTGCTGGGAGCTCCCAGCGCTGCAGAAGCTGTGTTTGCATCCCTTTTGGTTTTGCTTTTTCCCTTTTCCCCTCCACCTTGCATTCAGAGGCGTGGCAGAGCTGCTCAGGGCTGTGTGAGTGAAGCTGGCAGTTTGTACCCCAGCACTGGCAGCACCAATGGCCCCAGCCTTGTGCTGCAGCTGGGAGAGGAAGTTAAAGAGGAGGAGGAGGAGGAAATGTGCTGGTGGAGGTGCTGGTGCTGGGTGAGTGCAGCCTGAGCGGCTGTGGCAGCTGCCCACCCCCCGTGCCACAGCCGGTTTCGGAGCTGAGCTGGGGCAGCTGCTGGGTGGGGACAGAGGAGCCCCTGGGCTGGGAATCCCCTCGCTGCTGTGCAGCCTGAGGGACCAGGAGCTCTGCTCTGATGGGTGCCAGCCTTGGAGACCACGAGGGGAGCAGGGGGACGGGCGGTGTGGCAGATGGTGACAGTGACATTGCTGTGCAGCACGGGGAGGGCACAGCCTGGGAGCTCTGCAGCTGCAGGGCTGCACTGCAGCAGAGGCAGCACGTGGCTGCTTGTGCCTGCAGGTGTCCTCCCTCTGCTCTGGGGCAATCCTTCCAGCCGTGCAAGGACCCACTGTCTGCTGTCTGCTCTCCCATCCTTCCCCTCCTAACCTCTATCCATCCCTTTCAGATCAAAGGGTCCTGGTCAAACAAGAGGGGCTCGGAGTTTGCCAATCCCTACAGCCATAAAAGCATCCTCACAAACTGCTGTGCAGTGCTGTGTGGACCATTCCATCCCAGGTAAGAGCCCGTGGCCTCCTGGCACTGGGAATTGCATCCTGCTGTGGGAGAGGAGCCTTGGGAAGGGCAGATCTGTCATGGGCCATGGCAGTACAAACACATCTGCTCTGATGGGCAGAGGAAAGCTTCCCACTCTGCAGAGCAAGGCTGGAGATGGATGAGCAGGACATGAACTGTGTTGGAACTGGGTAAATTTGGGTCAGCTGTAGTTATTTTGTGGAACTTGAAGATAAGACAAATCCTGCAGCTGGGTAAGGGGAAGAGCAGCACCCAAGGACTTGGCAGCAGGTGGTCAGTTCAGTACAGACACTTCTTGTCCCCATGGCAAGGGTTGCAATCTTGAGGTGATCTTTAAGGTCCCTTTGCCCCAAACCATTCCATGATTCTGTGATTCTTAGCACAGTTTTACTCCTGTTCTCTGAGGCTTGAGCTACTCTGGCAAACAGCCAAGGGAGGTCCCCACCAGTGCAGAGACCCTGGGCTTCAGCAGCACTGAGCTCACCAGGGGTGCTCAGGGTCCCCCAAAAGGGCTCCTCCTGGCTGGGGGTGTCCCTGAGCACAGGACAGCTGCAGCTTCCTCACAGGATGGGGCAGCTGGGCAGAGCCAGGCCCTGCTCTGCTCCTCACCAGATGGGCAGCTGGGCACATCCCCAGCCTGTCCTGGGCATGTGGGGATCCCTGGAGGATCCAGGCTGCAGTCCTGAAGCAGCTCAGTGCTGCTAGCTCAGTAACAGCAGCAGAGTAAAGTGTGGGTTATATTTTGTATCAGGCCCTGCTCTCTCAAGTGTCCCCAGGCTTTGTGGTGGCTTCAGAGGTGCCAAAATGCAGTGCTGGTCAATCTGTGCATTCAGGGAGCCAGGCTGGGAGGCTGTGGGGAGGAGAACAGCCTTCTACTCCAGTTTATTTTTCTTTCATGGTGGTTTCATGCTGTGAAGCCCTTCGGCCAGTTCCCCTTTTGGTTTGTGGTGGCCCAGAGCTCCCTGTGGCTCACGGGATGGGGTCTGTGGCTCACGGGATGGGCAGGAACCCTGTGCTCCAGCCTCCTGCCTGTGCTGTGCTCAGCAGCTCCTGGGAGAGGAGCTTTCCCTGGGGCCTGTGGAGCTCTCAGCTTCAGTCTTTGTTCCCTGAACTGCTCTTCCCTTCCTGTTTTCCAGTTTGATAGACAGAAGAGGATTTATCCAGCCAGATGTTGGGACCCCGTCCAGTCCCAAGAGTGAAATCCCTTCCCTTGGAGCCAAAACTGACACCAGCATGGTAGGAGGCATTCCCTAGCAGTGCTGTGATGTTCCCAGTGCCTGCTGTGCCTGCACCTTGCTCCAGCCAGAACCTTCCCCTGTCACATCCCTGGCCTCAGGAGGGACAGCCCTGGGACCCAGAGCTGCCAAAGACTCGAGCCATGCGTTGCCTTCTTTTTTTACATTTATTTATTACTTTTTGTTCATTTGTTTCACTGTGATGTGGCCTGTCAGGGGTTTTGCCTGACAGAGACCAACAGCTTGTGGGACCCTTGGACTCGTGCTGGGAACAGGGGGTCCCCAGGGGTCCCCAGAGCCCTGAGCTCCAGGGCACTGCTGATTCCTGCTGGGAACGAGATGGGCCAAGGCTGGGAGGTGAGCACTGCCAGATGACCCCACTCGAGCTGGGCTGCAGGAGTGTCACCTCCCTGGTGTCCCTGGGAGCTCCCCAACACTGCTCCCACCTGAGGGGCTGTTCTGGCTCCCAGGCTGGAGCAGCTCCCCCTTGGTAAGTTGGGCTGTTCAGCTGGGAGGACTCTGGCTCCTGGCAGACCTGGAGGCAAGTGGGGATGTCCTGGCTGATCCCTGCTGATCCTGTTTTCTGCCCAGGGCTGTGTTTTGGCCCTGCCAGTTGGTCAGACACGTTTTGCAGCAAAGGCACAAATCAGGGGACCCTCCTCTAACGGGGAATAAGAAACACTCTGTGCTCTGTGACCCTCAGGAGATGCAGGTCGCAAGGCTGCAGGGGTGAGGTTTGGGAGCTGCAGCTTCCCAGGATTGTGTCCTGTCTGTGGGGGACCAAAAGGCAGCAGAAAAGTGTGAGAATTCCTGAGGGTCACACCCTTCCCAGGTGGGGTTTCACAAGGAAGCAGTGAGGGGGTGCTGGTCTCTGATAAGCTCGTGGTGTGCTCTGGTTTGGGTTTCTGAACAGCAGAATGTCCCTATTACCATTCCAGCTGCTCATCCCTGAGCACCACTCTGCACCCAGGCAGCCAGCTCTGTGTCCCTGGGGTGAAGGCAGAGTCACAAACCTTGTAGCAATACTTGAATCGTGTTATTAAAAGCTGCTGGATATTTTTGCACAATTTGTAGGACTTTTTTCTACGCAGAACATTTTCTGTCCTGTGCAGGGAGCACTGTGCATGCTGGCACCAGGGCAGAGGCTCACAGTGCCGAGCTGCCTGTCATGTTTCCTGGGATCACACAGACCAGTTTCAGCCTCGGGCAGGGGCAGCACATTTTGGGGGGCACCCAGCCCCCCTGAGTTCACCAGCGTCCTGCTTTGTACTCTGCAAGTGCCTGTGCCGGGGGGTTGGCAGAGGAGCAGTGAGGAGGGGCTTACCAGGGGCCAGACTCCTTCCTGTTTTTATTTAAACCAGTTTCCTTTGTTACTCAATAAAATTCTATTTTGAAAGAGTTAACTGCTTGGATGATTATTTTCCTCCTTGGAGACAGAAGAGGGCAGGTGTGTCCCGATGTTTGGAATCTCTCAGGTGCCAGCTGGACTGTGTTAGGCTCAGGCCTCGCCTGGAAACTCCTGGAAGCTCCTGCTGGGAGGGATGAGCAGCAGCTGACGCTGCTGAGACTTGCTGGAGTGAAGGGAATTTGCTGTCCCACATTTCCAGGCTGGGCAGGGGCTCATCCCCTCCCCGCTGTTGTCACCTCGGTGTCCTTTTTCCAGCTGGGATCTGTGCTCCCAGCTGTGCCAGCCCCTGTTGGCCTGGTGGCAGGTGTGAGGTGCATAACCTCTGGTGTCTTCCCCAGGAGGATGCCTGCCAGGACTTTGCCATTTCCTGCACAGCCTGACGGGATTTGCCCCTCCTCGGATGTTTGCCCTGATGTCTGAGGGTTGGCTGGTAAGAAAGCGCTTCCTTCTCCTTCTCACCCGCTCCAGCCACCCATCTCTCCCCACTGCATGCCAGCTCTGGCTTTGGAGCCCATCTCCCCCAGCTCTGCCCCATCCATCCCACCAAATCCCACCAAATCCCACCGGCACGGGGCATGGGGCCAGGGCTCTGGGGGTGAGGGGGCGCCTGAAGGCTTTGCCAGAAGAGGAGAGGTTTGGTTTTCCCTGGCTGTGTGCTGGGCTGGAGCCACCCTGTGTGCATGGGGACATGGTGGGACATGGTGGGACATGGTGGGACACGTGTGGCCGGGGTGGCAGAGGTTCTGCAGCCCAGGGCTGGCTGGAGCCCAGCCTGCCGTGCTCGTGTGAGGAAACCCCAGCCAAGGAGAGGTTCGGTGTTTGGAGGGAGCTGTGGCCCCTGGGGCAGCTCTGGGCCCCCATCCCTGACCCGTTCTGTGGCTTAGGTGATCCCTCTGGCCCCTCTGCCCGTTTTCCTCTCTGCCACACCCAGTTCCTCCTCCCGTGCCCAAGGTGAGTTCCTTCAGGGCACGTTGGGATGGCGTGTGTCACCCGTGGGCCGTGAGCCGCCCCTCTGCCCCCTCCCTGCAGCCCCCCGAGCCTCGGGGCAGGGACGGAGCCCCCTCCTCCCTCCGCCCCAGCCTGGTCCCACTCTGCCAGCCAGCCGGGATGCTCGCTCTGCTCCCGCTGCTCCTCAGCTCCTGTTTCTGGCACTGACGCTCTCCTTTTATCTTCCTCCCCTCTCCTCTCCCTCGCTCCGGGCGGACCCAGCGCCACGAGCCGCAGCGGCCTGAGCCTCTCGTGGGGCACCCACGGGAGCCGAGCCCACAGCCATGACCACCTCGAGTGCCTCCGCTCGCCTCCCTGCCCCGGAGCGGGGCAGCGGCCGCGGCTCGGAAAAGCTTTTCCAGCCCCGCTCGTGGCCGGGCCGGGCGTGCCGTGGCTCGGAGCTCAAAGCCATTCGGGCACCGCAGCAGCCGGAGCCGTGCCCGCGGTCCCCGCTGCGCCCTGCCCGCACCGACCCCGCGCCGCCGGGGCTCCGGGACCACCGGCTGGGCTCTCGGTGGCGGTGTGTCCCCGCCGTCGGTGCTGGAATGCCGTGATGGGCGTCCCAGCGGGATTTTGGGAGGAGCGGGATCTCTCCAGAGCATTTACAGCCAAGCCGGGGGCACCAGCGCCAAACCCTCGCAGCCCCTCCAAGCCGTGTGCCAGAGGACTTTCCCGACGGGAATTCGTACCTGGTCAGTTCATCCCCGCAGCCCCGGGCCAGCTCCCCCCGCCAGCCTCATCCCAGCACGGTTCTGGGTTTAGGGGAAGGGGCTCCAGCCCCGCGGCACTTTGTTCCCCTGGGCTGAGAGCTGAGAGGAGCAGCCAGGCCTGCCCCAGCCCCGTAGGATTCACCGTCTGTTTATGCCTTTTACTTTTGTAAGAAAATTAAAGTTTCTCCTATTTACTGTACTCTGGTGTCTGGCTCTGCTCCGCGGGTGGAGGGGAACGGCTCCTGCCTGGGCAGGCCCGAGCAGAGCTGGGGAAGCCACCGAGGGCTGGCACTGCTGTGCCATCAGCCATGGGGATGGGAGCCAGGAGCTTCCCAAACTGGACTGTGGCACAGTCTGGGGCAGGTCTGAGCCATCCGCAGCTCTGCACCCTCCCGTGCAGCGGGAAGGGCCAGGCCAGGCTGGGAAGGAGCAGTGGGCAGTGCCCGCAGGACCCGGGGCACCGTGAGCACCCCTTGGAAAAATGCGTTGTCCGCTGATGTTCTGGGAGCTGGCAGCGTCTGCACAGCCAGGGGGAGCAGCAGGGCTGGGCAGGGTGGCTAGACGGGCTCTGAGCATCGTTCCAGCGCCGCTGGGAATAGCCACGAGCATCCTCTGCCCGCTGCCAGCGCCCAGCCCACGCCTGGCTCGGCTCACGGGCTGGAGACGTGCCCCGGCCTGGGCAGCGCCCCCGGGGCTGGGGTTAGCTGGGCACCCCTCTCACCGGGGTGAGCACAGAACCACTGAAGGGTTTGGGACGCCCCTTCTGCCGCTGCCCTTCGGCCTTTGGGGCACCCACGGGTGCTCTCTGGGGTGGTGGTGCAGCCGAGCTCCTGCACAGCCCCTGCCCTGGGATCTGGGCTCTGCCTTCACCCAGCGCTGCTGGCCCTGGGACCGGCGGAGCAGAGCCTCCCTGAGCCTCCTCGCTCCCAAAATTTGGCAGCAGCTCAGCCCCTGTGGTAGAGGCTGCCTCAGACGCCAGACCCGAGGCTGAGCCATCCCCGCCCCACCCGTGTCCTTGCTGGGCAAGGGGGGATCCCACTGGGGTCTCCCCACGGTTAGAGAGCCCAAATGCAGGGTGAGGCATTTGGGGATTGTCCTGGGCAGGCTGGGAGTCCCTCACCAGGGCTGGGGACTGCAGACCCCAAACCCAATTTATGGTTTTGCTGCCTGAAAGAGTGCGAGCTCAGAGTAACCCACCCAGGGATTCCTGCCTGTGGTTTTCCAAGGGAAGGAGGTGGACTTTGGCAGGCTGGGTACACTGGGGTGTCTCTGTGGTCCCAGTCCTGCTGTGGGGGGTGGGTTTTGTGCCCGATGGAAGTTCTTGGAGGGTCTCTGTGGGTCTGCCTTGAGCGTTGGGCAGAGGGTGGAAGCCTCCTGCTCGCCGGCCCTTTGGGAAGCGCCTTTCCCCGACCCCGGGGCTGAACCTGCTCCCTGCGGATCAGCTCACCTGGGGAAGGAGCTCCCGCTGCTGCACGGGGCCCTCGGGGGTACGCCACCCCTGGAGGGGCTGTGGGGACCCTGGTGGGGCTGGAACCCCCACGCTGATGGCACCCCGGGCACCCCAAACCCCAGCGCGTGTCCGGGGCTCGGCCGGGAGGGCGTGAACGGCCCTGAATCCCTTTCTCCTGAATTCCAGCGTGCAGAGAGGGTGATGTGAAGGCCGGGGGTGTTTTCCTGGCCTTGAAGCGGTTGGGAAAAGCATCCTCAGGGTTTTCCTGCGCCCTCCGTGCCAGCAGGGCTGAGCGAGGCGCGGGGGCATCCCGGGCGCTCCCGGGCGGGTGCTGGCAGGCGGGAGCAAAGCGAGTCAGGCTCCCGGGGAGAATCACAAGGCTCCTGCCGGCCTTGGCCCGGAGCCGCCGCCCCGCCCGGCCCTTCCCGCACGCTCCCGCACCGAGATAAGGCCGGGCCGGGCCGCGCCAGCGCCCGGCGTGTGGCAACAAGCTCGGAGTGAAACCGAGCGCACGGAGCAGCTCAGATCCCTATCGGGCCCTGCGCCGCCCCGGAGCGGCCGAAAACCGGCGCAAAGCGAAGGCAAAACTCATTTACAGCCCGGGAGATGCGAAGCGGCGCCGGTGGGACGGGGAAGGGCAGCCCCGGGACGCAGCTGCTGGGGATGGGGTCTCCCCTCGCTCCTCCCAGCACGGGGAGTTTTGGGGGGTCCCCACCGTGCAGGGGCCCAAAGGCGAGGGTGACCGTGCCCCGCTTTTTGGGACGGTCCCTCCCGCGGCGCCTGGGAGAGGCGCGCAGCCTGTGCCTCGGTTTCCCCACCTGTGGGAATAAATACCTGCCCGTCAAGCCCTCGCAATTACCGCCGAGGCAATCACCATATTAAAACCGACAGCGATACGACTTTTTCGGGGGGGACGAACCCATTTTTACGAGCGGCCACACCCCGTGGCCCATTTCTCCGGGCTGGGGAAGAGCCGGGCGCTGCCGTGTGTCCCCGTCCCCCCCAAAGGACAGCCTGTCGCCCTCCCAAGCGCTCTCAGCAGCGCGATGGGCGTCGGCTCTGGGGAGAGCCCCGGGGCACCCACGGGTGCCGCACCCACGGGGAGGGCAGGGCGTTGGCCGCCCCCCTCGCCCCCTCCCCAGCGCCCGCCGCCCGCGGGCGATGATTCACCGCGATTTTCCTTTTAAGGCCGCTCTCGGCGGGGAGGAAGCAGAGGAGGAGGAGGAGGAGGACACTCCTTGGACCTGGCTGGCTCCTCCTGCTCTCGCTCGAGGCTCCGACGCGCAGCCAAAAGCGAATCCCGGCGGCGGCGCTCGGCAGAGGCTCCGACGGCTCCCGGCCCCGCTGCTCGCCCAAGCGTCCGCCCGCGCCCGCGTCCCAGCCATGGCAAGAAACCACCAGGTGCAGAAGGCCAAGCTGGCCGAGCAGGCTGAGCGCTACGAGGACATGGCAGACTTCATGAAGGCCGTGGTGGAGCACGGCGACGAGCTGTCCAACGAGGAGCGCAACCTCCTCTCGGTCGCCTACAAGAACGTGGTGGGCTGCCAGCGCTCGGCCTGGAGGGTCATCTCCAGCATCGAGCACAAGACCGAGGAGGGCGACGACAAAGCGCAGGTGGTGAACGAGTACCGGGAGAAGGTGGAGCAGGAGCTGAACGCCGTCTGCAACAACGTCCTGGGCTTGCTGGACAAGTATCTCATCAAGAAGGACAGCGACACCGAGAGCAAGGTCTTCTACCTGAAGATGAAGGGCGACTACTTCCGCTACCTGGCCGAGGTGGCCAGCGGGGACGACCGCCTGTCGACGATAGAGAAGGCCCAGGAGGCCTACCAAGAGGCCATGGACATCAGCAAAAAGGAGATGCAGCCCACGAACCCCATCCGCCTGGGGCTGGCCCTCAACTTCTCCGTGTTCCACTACGAGATCGCCAACGCCCCCGAGCAGGCCATCTCGCTGGCCAAGACCACCTTCGACGAGGCCATGGGCGACCTGCACACGCTCAGCGAAGACTCCTACAAGGACAGCACCCTCATCATGCAGCTGCTCAGGGACAACCTCACGCTATGGACAGCCGAGTGCGCCGGCGAAGACGGCGGCGAGGCTGGCGAAGAGCCCAAGAACTGAGCGTGCCCTGCCGAGCCGGGGGCCGGCCCCACCTGCCCCGCTCCAGACCCTTCGGCATCTCTTCCTGGTGGTTTTTTTTTGGTTGTCGTTTTTTTGATTTTTTTTTTTTTTTTTTTTTTTGTTGGTTTTGGCGGGGAGGAGTCTCAGCTCCCCCCAGCCTGGATACCGGGAGTGGGGGTGGTTTTGGCAGGGCCCCTCCCTCCCTCTCCCCCATCCTCTGCTCTGGGGAGGGGGAAAAGAGGGAGAGGGGTGCCTCTGTCCCAGAGAGCTGCCAGCCCCCAAATATTTAACAATTTTTTGGGGGGGGGGAGGTGTCCAGTCTGGCTTGTGCCAGCTGCAAACCCCCTGTCCCAGAGGGCTGGAGCAGCGGCAGGAGGAGGTGAGGGGCTGGACTGGGGCGAGGGGGGGTCCGGGCAGCCCCCCATTCCGGGAGGGGGTGGCGTGTTGCCGAAGCCTCTGTGCTCCAATAAACCTTCTCCTGCACCTCTCTCTCGTCTGCCTCGTCTCTCCCTGCGCACATGTCCGGGCAGCTCTGGCGCCCGCCTCGCCTCCCTCCCGTCCCAGGGTGGGGGCAGCCGGGCCCCAGCACCGGGGGCTGCTCTCGGTGCCCCCCAGCCCCACAGAGGGTCTTGGGGCGAGCTGCGGCCCGTGCAAGGGCTCGGGGGTCAGTGCATCCGTGGGACGGGGTTTTGGCAGCTGCCTGCTCCACGAGGCGCTCAACCTGGGTGCTCTGACCCAGCCCCGTTAATACAAACCCAGAGTTCCCCAAAACCTGCCCTGACACCCCTGTGTGGGTCCCCAGGTCCTCCCCCATGGCTCCTCGACTCCAAGGAGGAAAATGCAGGGGAGCTGCATGGGCAGCGGCGCAGGGGCACCCCGGGCTGGCCGCGGGTGGGGACGCCCCTCTCAAGGTGCCGACGCGCTGGGACAGGCGAAAGCTCAGCACTTCTGGCCTGGCACCCGGCCACGGGAAGGGCGCAGCTCCCTCCCCTTCCCCCCGCCAGCGCGTTCCAACATGAACAATAATTACAATAAAATACAGTCACGGCACCCTGGGCTATGAGCTCAGCAGAGCCAGCAGGGCCGGGCAGGAGCCGGCCTTTGATGGGAGCCCCGCCGTGCCGGGAGGAAGCGCGCCGTGACTCAGGACCCGCACGGGGGGACACGCCAGCCCCGAGCCCTGCCGCGGCCAAATCCCAGCCCGTGGCGAGCCGGGAAATTGGGGAAATGAGGCCCAAGCAGGGACGTGACCCCCCTGGTGCGTGCAGGAGCTGTGGGTGCCCGGGGAGCCGGGGCCTGGCCTGGGCTGGAACCAGGGCTGGGCGCACACAGCAGCACCCGCTCACCCTGGATGGGGCACCCGGAGCCGATCCCAGCAGAGGGGATGAACCCCCCAGCCCCATCACCACCCCCGGGTGCTGCCCCGGCCCCCAGCAGCTCCAAGGGGTCCCCGAGGTGTCGGGGCCGGGCCTGGGCAGAGCCCACTGAGGGACCCCAGGGCTCGGCCTCCACCGAGCACCGCCAGCCTGGGAACGGCCCCAGAGCTGGAATTAGACAGAAAAACGAGCTGAGGGCTCCTGCCCTGACCCCGCGGCCTGGGGCACCCGGACTGGCTCAGCTGGAGAGTGGCGGGGCTGGAGCTGGCAGTGCTGGTGCCCAGGAAGGGAGAAGTGGGGTGTCTGTCCGTCCCTGGGGCTGTGGGTTCCCCCGGCTTCCCAGGAGTTAACCGATTTCAACAGCTCCCGAAATTGCGGCGTGGCTGGGCCGTGTAGGAGGAGGGTGCTCCCCGCTCCCAGCCGGTCCGGCAGCTTCTCCAGGCTGGGAAGGAGGAGGCTCCGGGTTCCTGGGACACTCCTGTGAGAGCAGGGAGTTCTCTGGGGTCCCCCTGCTTCACACAGGGTGGTGGGACTCAGGTAAAGACCAGGGAGACATCGGGACCTCCATCCCCACCCTCATCCTTGTCTGCTGGCTGTGGAACACTCCCGGCATCCCTGAAGGGGCATCCAGAAAATCTCTCAAATCGATCAGTTTTAGTGTCTTAAACCCCCTTAGAGCAGAGGGACTGGGTGCCCGGGGCCAAGTGGTGTCCCCCACTCCCCCAGCAGGGGAAAGGCACCAGAGCAGGTCAGTGAGGGCCAGCAGGGATGTTCTGCTGCCTGCAAAAGGCTCTGCCCGTCCCGAGTGGGAGCTGCAGGACCCACAGCTCTGCCTGGCCCTGCCAGCCTCCCCAGGCTCTGTGCCCGGGGCCGGCTCTGGGCTGAGGCTCCATCCCCTGGCCTGGGGCAGCCCCTGCCAGCCTGCCACCCCTGCCTGCTCTGCGGGCGATTTCAGAGAGGCTTTTTCTCCCCATTAGAAAGCCCCACTTGATGGGGAAGCTTTTGAGCAGGATGGAGCTGGAAATGAGGGCCGGGCGCCGGGAGGGGACCCGGGCAGGCGCGGTTCCCTGGCTGTGATTGCTGCTCCGTGCCCAAAACACCCCGCTCAGGCTCGGCCCCACGGCCGGGGGGGCTCGGCAGGCAGGACCAGCTCGGCAGAAAGCCGGGACCCCTCCCAGGCTCCTGGGCTGACTCATCCTGGCCCTTGGCCCAGGATGGCAGCCAGGGTGTCACCTCCTGGGCCCGGAGCTGTCCCCTCCCAGCCTGGGGGTGTGGGAGCAGGGCCAGGCTGCCTGGCACCCTGCAGTTCTCACCAGGGGCTCCAGCCTTCCCTGGGCACCCTGGGCAGCAGCAGAATTGTCCCCCCCGGGCTGTGGGTCCCTCTTCAGCCCCTGATCCACCTGTAAGAAGCTCCTTGGGACAAAAGCCCTGTGGTTTTGGGGCTGAAGCTCTCTGGGACCTGAGCGTTTCCTGGCTGGAACACGGCAGAGGATCCGTGGCCTGAGCTGGGCGGTTTCCATCCCAAGGCTGAGGCTGCAGATATCCAGGGCATTCAAATAAAAAAGCCAAAACGCCACAAAAAAGCTTTGATGGCTGTTGCGTAACTCAGCCTGACCTGACCATACCCTTTTAAGCCACCAAATCTCTCAAAGCCATGAAAAAGCCACTATAAAATTAATATTTTTATGATCCCTGCTCCCACCCCTTCACAGCAACTACAGAGCTCCAAAACAAGCAGGACAAGGCCACGAGCCACAGGTGAGGACGGGATTTCAGGTTAGGTTGGCTTCCAGAGTTCAGCACTGAAATCCAGCCAGGAATACCCAGGGAAACTCCTGGGCTCTGGGAAGAGCTGAGGCACTGGCAGCACCCTGGGATTTGACCTTGCTGTCTGAAATCTGAGTTTCATTGGGAAGGGGTCTGGGTGAGGCACAAGCATTGTGTGTCTGCATCCTCCTCTCCCCGAGCTGCTCCTCGTCTCCCAGTCCTGACCACAGGCTTGGGAGATGTGGGAAAAATTCATTTTAATTCCGTGCCCAGCTGCCCACGACCCCGTTCACATTCAGAGCCATCAAGGAGCCAGCCTCCAATCCCTCTGCCAAGGGCCAAAGCATCCTGTGAGAAAATCCTGCTGTATTTGATGCAAGATCTTGGGCAAGAGGCGATGCTGAGTCTGCAGAGATCTGGGATCGGGAGTCGCGCCCGCTCCCAGCCCATGTGCAGCTGCCGGGAGGCACCGGAGCCTCCCTGATGGGGACACCCCACTTGTCACCCCCAGCCCCCCAAATCCACCCCCAGCCCCCCTGATCCACCCCAGCCCCGGGGTCTGGGATCCCTCAGAAGAGATCTGCATCCCTTTGTCTCTGCTGGGGGAAAGCAGGGCCAGGAGGAGGAAGGTGGCTGAGGACACCCGGGCTGCTCCTGGGAAAGGCCGGGGATGCAAAGCACGAGCTGAGTCCCAGCGGGGCTTTCCCAGCCAGCACCTCCAACAGCTGAGCTGGCGCTGGGCTGCTCCAGCCCCTGGACCCTGCAGGGGCAGCAGCACAGCCCTGCCTGCGCCCCTGAGCCCCCAGGCAGGGCACAGAGGGACAGGGCCAGGGCAAAGGACAAGGACAGGGACACAGGGCCAGGGCCAGGGATGGGACCCAGGGACAGGGATGGGACAGGGCCAGGGCAAAGGACAAGGACAGGGACACAGGGACAGGGCCAGGGATGGGACCCAGGGACAGGGACAGGGACGGGACAGGGACAGGGACAGGGACGGGACAGGGCCAGGGCCAGGGCAAAGGACAAGGACAGGGACACAGGGACAGGGACAAGGACAGGGCCAGGTCCCCCTGGCCGCTCCCAGAACAGGCGCTTCGGCCTCAGGCTCCGGAGCACTCTTGGGTTTATTTGTGCAGCTTCAGCAAACTCCGAAGATGAAAGTGAGGCCGAGAAGTGTTTTATTAAGAAAGAGTCCATCATTATTTCTAAGAAAAAGAAAAACAAACATCCCTCTGTCCTTGAGACGGTGTGGAGGCGTCCTGGCCTGGATTCTGCTCGGAGCACGGGGCCCGTGCACGCTCTGCAGCACTCCCAGGGCTGCTGCCTCGACTCTCACTGCACCCGAGGCAGCTCCAGCTGGCTTTTCTTTCTCTGGATCTGTCTAGCTCATGATGGAGGAGACCTTATCTCTTTTTTCCTTGCTCCCCCTGCCTTCCCTGGCTCAACTCTGTTCCTAGGGGAAGACCCTCAGCTGCCTCCCTCCTGCCAAAGCCCTGCTCTGGGCAGCAGGCCTGAAGCTCAGGAGGTCAAACCCACCCAGAGAGGGTCCAGACTCTGCCTGGAAAGGCTTTCAGTTGTTCTGAGTCACAGCTGAAGCTCGGGCTAGGAAGAGGAGAGGTGTCAAAACAGAGGAGCCAGGGAAGGGCGTGTCACAGATCCATCACCTCCTCTTCCACAGCTTTGTCCTGAGATTGCACATACTTCTCCTGCACTGCCAGGGTGCTGATAACGCAGTAATTAAGGAAAACGAGGGGCTGGGCTCAAACACTCCCTTCTGCAGGAGCTCTGAAGTTCCCGTCGAGGAACCAGCCCAGCCTCACATTAGCCCGAAGGCCATTGGGAAGAGGCAGCATCACCCGCGTTACCTCTGGCTCTGCCTGATCCCAGGCCTGACAAGTCCAGGAGAGTCAACTGTATGGTTTGAAGGAGAAGGAAAGAACCCACCCAAGGGAGGCTGAGAGAGAGGAAAGGTGTCCAAAGGCTCCTGACACGTTCACGGTGTCAATTCCCAGCCTTTGGTGGGTTTGGTGAGGACAAGTGTCTGCCCCAGGCTGGGCTGAGCACACCCCACTCCCCACGTGTGTGTCACCACCAGACGATGAACCTGGGCCTGCAAACTCCAGCCTTGGTCCCCCAGGGAGAGAGAAATGAAACTTGAGAGCAGAGAGGATACGAGGAGAAGTGGAAGTCGGCCCCCACGGCTGCCGACATCAGCGCCTCCAGGCTCCGGTGCTCCTGGTCCCCGAAGCAATATCCATTGGCCTTGTCCACGGCCTGCAGCACCTGCCTCATGCTCTGCTTGTCCTGGGAGGAGGGAGCTCGCTGGCACCTGCCCTTCCCCCCGGGCAGGAGCTCACACTGCCCTGAGCTGTTTTCTCTGGGGCTCGGGGTCACCCTGACAGTGCCCAGGGCCCCGGGGCCACCAACGACAAACAGGGACAAACAGGGACAAACAGGGACTGGCTCTCCACCCTCTCATTCCCTTTCATCACTTTCTCCCAGCCCATTTGCCTGCTGACACTTCTGCCAGCTGCCTGATCAAGGACATTTCCAGCCCGCCCTCCACCTTCTCATCATTTGCTGCTCCCTAATTTAAGCAGGTTTTAGGTGATCCTCAGCCCAGATTTGAAATGCAGGCCAGAAGGGGCAGCCTGGATTCCCCACCCCGGGACACAAGGCCCAGGGAGCCCCAGGCCCATCAGCCTTTTTCTGTGGCTGCCACAGATCACTTCCAAGTGTGGGTGTTCTTCCCCGTTCCCAGCCCCGAGTCCCTCACAGTGGAGGTTTGCAGCCCTGTGGCTCTGGGCAGACAGAAGGCAGCTGCTGCCCGTGCAGGGCTCCCTGTCCCTCCTGCTGGCTCACCTGGACGTTGAGGGGCACGAAGGACACCAGGCTGTAGTCCTCGATCACCTCCACCAGCTTCTCGTTGAGGCGGCGGAAATTCCTGAAGAAGGGGTCGGAGGCCAAGTGATCCACGAGGTAAGAGAGGTCCAGGACCTCGGTGTAATAGTCCAGGTTGAAAGCTGCAGGGCGACAGGGAGCTCTGAAGGCAAGCTGGAAGCTGGAGAGCACAGCGGGATCTGCAGCAGTTCCCACCCTGCCCCATTCCACAGCCTCCCCCTCAAATTCCTCAAAGGCCAGAATGGAGCTCTGAGCTGCCCTGGCTGGTGGGAGGTGCCCCTGCCCACCAGAGAGGAGCCGAGGTTCGAGGTGCCTCCCCCCAGAGCACGCTGTGCCCCCCAGTCCCTCACCCAGCTTCCCGTACTGCTCGATCAGGTCCATCTTGGAGAGGACGTTGACGTGGGGCAGCTCCACGTGCAGCATGGTGGCCAGCGAGGTGCAGAGCACGGAGATGAACTTCCCAGGGTCCGTGCAGTAGTGGGAATCCACCAGGTGCACGGCAGCCAGCTGGGCAGAGAAGGCACAAAGGGACACAGGAGCTCAGAGCCGTGACAAGCCCTGCTCGAGGGACAGCCCAGGAGAAGCTGTCCAGGCCTGACTGCACCACCTGGGGAAATCACCCCCCACCTCCTGCACACAGAACACAGCACCAGAGAACCTTGGACTGCTTTGGGTCAGGGGGGACCTTAAAGCTCACCTGGCCCCAGCCCTGCCACGGCAGGGACACCTCCCACTGCCCCAGCTGCTCCCAGCCTGGCCTTGGCCACTGCCAGGGATCTGGGGCAGCCCCAGCTGCTCTGGGCACCTGAGCCAGGGCTGCCCACCCTGCCAGGGAACAATTCCCAATTCCCAATCTCCCATCCAGCCCTGCCCCTGGCAGTGGGAGCCATTCCCTGGGTCCTGTCCCTCCATCTGTGTTCCCAGTCCCTCTCCAGCTCTCCTGGAGCCCTCCAGGCCCTGCCAGGCTCTCCTGGAGCCTTCTGTGCTCCACGCTGAACAGGTATCCAGGTATACAAAGTGTCTGCCACATTCCCAGCCATGGATTCAGACCCAGGGAAGGGCTCTGGGAGGCTTTTAGAGCTCCACCAGCAGCACCACAAGGAAATTCAGCCTGCAGCTGCTCGCCCTTTTCTCAGGGTTTCTCTCTGCAGCTGAAGTTCCACGCTTGTCTGAACTCTGTGGGGTTTGGGGTGGGAGCTGGGGCAGTTCCCCCCATGAGCAGCTCAGCTGCCCCCAGCTCCCCACAGGAATGCCCAGCCCCTCAGGAGCAGTACCTGCAGCACACCAGCTCTGCTGGGAGAGCCCCAGTGGCTCACACCAATCATTAATAACTGCACTAACGAGCTCTGTGATCCCCTGGGTTTTGTGTGGCTGCAACAATGCGGCCCCAGAGCTGGGAAGTCACTGCAAGTCAGGGCTCTGAGGCTGAGTCACAGCAGCAGAGCCCAGCCAGTCTGGGGCTTCCAGGCAGAGAGGGAGAGCAGGACCAGCCCTGCAAACGCTTTATTTTAGCAGCTCCAAGCCCATGTCCATTTACTCCAAGGAAAATAAGCTCTGATGTGCAGATTCCCAGTGACATTCCCAAGCAAATGAAGCTGCCCTTCTTGCTCAGAGCACCCAGGTTTGCACACTGGTGGTGTGGCCCCGCCGCAGAGCCAGCGCAGCGTCAGCAGCTCCCGTTGTGCAAGAGCCCAGAGCCCGTCCCACGGGCTGCAGGAGGGGCCTGGCACGGCCCCTGCATTCCTCAGGGCACTGCCAAGGCTCCCAGCACACTCAGAACCCCACTGTGGATGAAACAGCCGGGCTGAGGGGAGGATCCTGCAGCACAGCACTCCTGCCCCATCCTGGGAGCGTTCAGGGACAGGCTGGAGTGCCCTGGGCATGGAGTGAGAGTGCCTTTGAGGTTCTCTCCAACCCAAACCATTCTGGGATTTTGTGTGCGGTGTGAGGAAGGAATCTGTGTTCCTGCTCCCAACCCCAGTAAAAGCCCTGACAGGCCATTTTGCTGCCAATCTCTTCCAGCATAAAATAGGGGAAAAATTCCCCTTCTTCCATCATAAATCCACTTCACATGAAAAGCCAAAAACTCCCCGGAGACAGCGGCCACGAGACCCCCCAACCTGTGTGCCCGTGTGCCCACGGAGCCCGGAGCTCGTGGGTGCCCAGCCCATCCCTACCCTGAAATCCCACTTGGCCAGCTGGGCGAGGACGTTCTTCAGGGCCTGGTGGTGGGTGTAGAGCTCCACCTGGCCGGGGCAGTCGAAGAGCAGGTAGTGTCCCCGCAGGGCGCGCAGCCGCTCCCGCAGCCAGTCGGTGTTGGCTTCCAGGTACTCCATGCAGTAGAGCAGGCCCCCGTTGGGGCCCAGCCCCAGCCCGGCCATCACGTCGGGCAGCGTGACCAGCTCGCCGATGTCCAGGGCGCAGGGCCGGGGCAGCGCCTCGTTGGCGGGGTCC